GGGCGGGTCAGGCTTATAAGACGGCGCGCTGGGAGAAGGGCGCCAGGTTCCGCGATGTGGGTCGCACGCAGCTCGCTGTTGGCGCTGGCGGCGCTGGTCGCTGCCGTCTGTGCGGTAAGCGCTTGCCTCTCTCTTTGTAGCTCTGCTGCTTGTCCATCGGGCGAGATCAGGGCAAACACGCGTTTTAAAGATGTTACAGTTGCCTCACCCATTTCCGGACATTCTAAGTTCCAAGTGAAACTACAGATTAAAATATCTGTTTAAATTTTAGTTTCGTTTCAAACGGGGTAGCAGAATAAGATATGCAGAACTTCCACCGCGGATAAACAATTTTTGTGTTGAAAATGGTAATAAAAGTGTAAAAACAACAATTTTTCGCAGGGTTCAAAGTAACCCATCCTCAGGACTTCATACAAATAAAAAAACGTGATTTTTTAGTTTCTTATATAAGTTTAATTTTTTTAAACTTCAATAGCTCATGAATATTCACTTAGATAATCCTTGTACCTTTTTATATATGAAACAGATTTTTCGAGATTTTTTTCAAATGTTTATATCGCATTTTACCATTACAAACGACAAACAAGGAATAATATCACAAACTTTTTTCTCTTCGTTTATTAAGAATATCTCATGCTCTCTCGCAGATCATAATTAGTGGTGTGTGGTATAAATAGTGGATCAAACTATTCGGACCTGCCACATACTCACGCCATCTGCCATCTATTGCCATCCAAAGTATATTTTTTTAAAAATCTTAATATTTCGGTTTCTTCATACTAAAACGAAATATAATTTTAAGAATATTAATAAATAGTAAAATTTCGTCTTACGTAGAAATTTTCTTTAAAAAATTTGGAGCCGTTTTTATGAAAATGGCGTTTAACGATTCTGTAATTTCGAAACTTGAACCTCTTTTCGATAAAACTTCTGAGATTTCGAAAAACTTTATTAGAAGTCATTTAACGGACTCACAAATAAAATAGTGTTTACAATTTGGTGAAAATATACATATTACTTGCGTGAGAGATCATCCAAAAATTGCATTTAAATAATTCTAGAAAAAACAAAAGAATACCCTGAAATAAACATTACGTCATATTAAACAGTGCAATTAGAACTATCCCTTCGAAAGGTTGAACACAAAAGTCGGTGCCGTTTTTGAGAAAATGACCTTTGAGCGTTTCTGAAAATCCGAAATTTTGAGCTAGTTTTCATAGAAAATGGTCGAGTTTTTGAGAAATTTTATGTGACATTAGTAAAAGCACGTGTAACTCATTCAAAGCACTCATAAATATAACAATGTGAACAAATCTCTAATAGTATTAATGCCGTGAGAGACTCGTCAAAAAATTAAATTTTTGTATTTTTTGAAAAAACAAAAGAATAGAGCAGAATGGCGTTTATGTCATATCGTAGAGAACATTTACCTCTATCACTACTAAAAGTTTAAGGAAAACATTTGGAGCCGTTTTTGAGGAAATATTGTTTTTGTAATTGTTTTAAAATTGAAAATATTGCAAGAAAACTACGTGTAAAAATGTACGTGGGCTAATTATAAACAACAAATTCAATTTTGTAAATGTGGAAAGATGCCAAAAAGATTCATGCTTTTAAAATTTTCAAAAATTCAAAGTTAACCGTGAAAATCGGACCTATGTCATGTTTCTCTATTCTTACAAGACGTTTAAAGAAAAAAAATGGAGTCGTTTTTGAGAAAATTTTGAAAGTGTCTGGAGGGCTTCATGTAAAGTTCCCCCAAATTTTGAAGAATGTTTTTCTCAAGTTACGACTCTAGACAGACGGACAGGGGTTTGTTCGATTTGGAAAAAATCCTACTTATTGTTTAGGCGCTAGTACAGTACCCACAAACCTGGAATTCGGTGTACACCACGTGTTAGAGGCAATTTCTCCTTAATTTGTTGTATTTTGAATACTGAATGATTTGGGAGCTTAGAACTCCCTTAGAGCTTGTCCCCGTGTCTAAGAGCTTGTCACAAATGGGGTGGTACCCCGATGATGGGAGATACCTGGTTGAGGAAAACACCGCTAATCGATGGTTGGTCGGCGCCAGATCGCGTCATCCATCGGGGAGAGATCACGTCCACCTCTCTCGAGAAGAAACACGCACTACATTTACGGAGCAAATGACCTTAGCAGTTGATGCACCCGGAATCCCTAGTCAATCAACCACCAATTACTTTTTGTCTCTGGCTTAAAGTTAAAATCGATTGTATATTTCAACATTCCATGATCATTTCACATTCGGAAACACGGGGTCCGAGGATGGGGGAGGCGGAAATTGAAAAGTGTACGTGCAAGTGTTTCAAAAACACCTTTTTTCCAAGAAAATGTGCATTCTATAGGTTGTTTTCTTCCTTTTCACGCAGTTGAATAATGTATTTTACCACTTATATTTCATTTTCGTTATTCAGTTAATTGTAAAGAATGGGTGTGTGCACACACTTAGATACGGATTCAAAATCGTTTGCGGAAGAGAGGGAAAAAGTAAATAAAGACGATTTTTATGTTCGTAAGGTTATGAACAATCTCTAAACACAGTGGTTTTGGGTGCAGACGCTTTAAAATATTTGGTACGAAATTGTTTGCGGTGGAGATGGTAAAGGAAAAAACGACGATTATAATGTTCGTAGGTATTGAACCATCTCTAAAGACGCATGTCTCAGAGGATTTGTCATAGTCAAGCATGTTTTATTAATATTTAGAAGTGACATCATTTGAATATACAATTCCTCGCTTCTCGCTAAACAGGCTAGGACTTCCGCTTAGGACTGCACAGTCGCATAAAGATAGCTATGAGTACTTGAACGTCAGAGTAATGCTGGGCGGAGGCTGTTGTAATTTTCCATTGCAGCAATGTAAATGTTTCAATATTAAGGATTAAATTATTTTAATATATATATATATATATATATATATATATATATATATATATATTGAAAGAATAAAGATTCCATTATAATTGAAAGTGGCATCTTTCCGAGTTTCACCCAACTAATTCAATTTAAGAAATAGTTTCCGGATCCCAGATTTACATTAAATATCTTTGGGTCATGGGATCAATATAGATGTCTTTGAATATTTTCTTAGACTTTCTTTGACTTCAAAATAAATGTCATCAATTTACCTTTGAATTTGGCCCATGAGTAATGTGTAACCTACGAATAATTTTGTTTAATAATATTAAGTTATTTCTCATATATAATTCTTGATTCTCAAATTTATGATTTTGATTTTAACACTTAAAGCGCCATGTGCGTCATATTAAAAACAAGGTTTGCATAATTTTCTCAATTCAGTTGATTGTTTAATGACTGTGTGGTCATGTTTGGCATTTTCTTGTTTTGGTATAACACCTCTGATATGTCTGCGGGCGACAACAACTTGCTTGTCTTGCCTTTAGTTCCAATTCAATAGGACGATTAAGAAGGCCCAAGTATATCGAATTAGATGTTTATCTCAGCGCATAGGAAATTCCTTTGCTCATGGTTAACGTGATCGGCAAATGCGATTAAAGCTTTTAATACCACAGACATTGGACCAAACAAAACAATTTTATAAAGGAAATTAAACTCATGGACACAAGACTTGTCCTAAATTCTACACCATCTTGATTGGAAAGTAGTAATAATTAGCTCAATGTGTGATATTATAGCTCCAAACATGTCCGCTGCTATGTTGTCCAAGAGAACTGTAAAGGTGTTCAATATCAGTGACTATTTCATTCATGGACTTTCAAGAATATTAAATCAATCTTCAAACAATTGCTGCTGTCTACCAGCAAGAAATTATCAAATTTCACCATCAGTGAAATGCGTTGAAATTAATGGCACAATAATTCATCGTGGTCATTATTTTAAAGTCAGGAGGTATTTTCACAAAATGTTCATTCTTACTTAACAACTTGAAGAAATCATTGATAGAAATAAACGGCCGAGGAAAATGGATTAAATATAAGGATAATATCTAAAGAGCGGCTGCTCTGATTTCCAATTTTCCGTGGATTCTCCCTCCAGCTGCAGGCGAATGATGGAGCAGTGCCTCAACAAACGGGCCACGGACCGCGCGCGATATTTCCTTCCTCTTCCTTGCCCTACCCTCACCCCTTACACACACGTACACTAACACGCACTTCGCTACCACACATGCCCGGAGACCGGTCGGGAGCTAGACCTTGGCCCGGCTGAGGCGGTGCCCTGCTGAGGAGATACCTGGTTGCGGGAAACCACGCTAGCCGACGGTAGGTCGGCGCCGGATCTCGCCATGCAGCTGGCAAATGCCACCGCCCCTCCCGAGGAAGAAGCGTGCACTACACTTATGGGACTAATGATCTCAGTAGTTGACGCGCCCGGTGTCACAACCAACTATCCAAAGAAGGATAATAAAATACATTACACGTTTGTTAAGAACCACGAGTGTATGTAGATATTAAGTTTAAAATCAATTATTGTGATGAAACGTTCGAATTATATTCTGAACTTCGAATTACTGCATTAATAAAACAGTTCAGGCGTTCGTAATAAGAGAATGGATACCGTTGTGTAACAAGTTCTTGTACAGATGCATTGCTTTCCCTTGGCATACTTAACGCGCAAGATCGTTCTAGTCTGTTTTGTTCTTTCTTTATTTCTCATCTTTCATTCTAAGGAATTATCACTTTCACAATTCCCAGGCGAGGTTGTATTCGCAGGTTCCTTTCTCCTACTTGAATGTATTATTTGCAAATGGATAATTAAGTATTTTTGTAATGTGCCGTTTCCGCAGATTTTTCAAAATTCAAAGCATTTGACTTGGATAATGCTTTCGAAAGCAGTGATTTTTGCTTTTGTTATTTCATTATTTATTCTCGGTCCCCGCTTTATCGGGGGGCGGGGGGTAAGAATTAAGTCATAATCACATAAACAGCTCATCATTCTAGACGCTCGCAAGAAACAGAACTCATTTGCATTTTCGCTAAGGAACGACTTTTGTTTTAACATTTTTTCCTGTTCATTTATACGTGTTTCGAGTACTTTCCACCGCATTGCCCCTGACCGGGAGCTCCTAGGTTCGAGTCACGACGGTGGCAGGATTTTCGACTCTACATTGTCAGT